AGGCGCGCGTTAAGTTATGGGGGTGGGTGGGGGGTGGGGGGGTTACTGACACGCAAACGCGCGCGCGCACACACACACGAACACATCTACAGCTCCTTTCCAGCTGCGCAGCTGAACTCGCACTGCGTCGTTTTTTTTAGCAGCTCAGCAGGAGGAAGGGACACCGCTACAGAAATCGTTCCTGGACCGGAACCGGTTTGGTCCTACCATGTCGACGCCGAACCGCCACCGTGGGAACTTAAAGCCGGTCCATCCTGCTCCGACGGCCCTTATCGTCCCGCAGTCCCTCCTATCATGGTCCTCCCGTCAGCCGGACTCGCTTCGCTGTGCTCCGGACCAGAAACGTCCCGCGTCAAGCTTCGCCCTCCTCCCGCTCCTCCTCCTCCGGGCTGCGGCAGAACCGAATAATGCAACGTTAACCTTCTCCCTCTCATCGTTTTTACGGGTCCAGTCCGCCACATTGGGTCCGCGCAGGGGCGTTCTGAGGATGTGGACGGGCTGGGGGGCTCAGCCCGGCCCACAAAGAGACGTGTTTTTATATGCAGCGTTTCCCGTTATTTAGGAGGACAAGGTGTCCCGGTTATTTGTCCACATGCTGAGTTTTTCTAATAAAGAATAAAAAAGATAATGAGTCTGGTCAGAACCATTGTGTTGTTGGGACATGGAGCACAATCAACTTTATTTACAAACACTTGGTCTCAGATGAGTTGGATTACTGATTGAAGCTCTCGACAACCTAGGTCCATCTTATATTACAGATCTTATTGTTCCACATTGTCCTAACAGAACACTTCGCTCTCAGACTGCAGGTTTACTTGCGGATCCCAGAGTTTCCAAAAGCAGAATGGGAGGAAGAGCTTTCAGTTGTCAGGCTCCTCTCAAATCAACTTACAATTTCTATCCATAAGGCTGACACATTGTCCAGTTTTAAGACTGGGTTTAAGACTTTCCTTTTTGATAAATCCTATAGTTAGTTGGCTTGGTTTCCTGACCTATTCTTTATTCTTTTCTTCTTGGTCTGCTGCCTTCATATATCTCCTACATGTATCTGCGTGAGTGCAGCTACAGCGTGCACTCTCAGGACATTATTACCTGCAGTGTTCCCTCAGTGAGGACTGAACTTGGCAAAAGGGCCTTCTCCTGCTCCACTCCTGTTTCCTGGAATATTTTGCAAAAAGACCTGACACTCTCAACCTTGACCTCTCTAAGTGGCTTTAAGAAGTTGTTGGACTCCTGGCGGGGACCAATGCAGACATGTTCCTGTTTTTAGTTTTCTACATTTGCCTTATAAACTAGCTGTTTTTGCTACTTTTTTGCAATCTTATTTTAATTTGTTTAAAAAAAATCTGTACGCCCCTTTTATAATTGTCTATTGTTGTCGCTGTTGTTCGTGGTTGTCATCATTCTTTGTTGAAATCAGGTCTCTCATAAATGAGTCCTCGAGGCTCAATGGGACTAACCTGTCTAAATAAAGGTTGAATGAGTCCTATGTTGCTACAACCTTAGAGTGAGAACAAATTGACATCATTTCATCAAATGAACAGTTAGAAATGCATACAAATGAAAAGTTTGTATTTGTAATAATTCTTTCTTAACATGTGATTTCTGTCTTTTTTTCTCCTAGAGAAAAACTGATGGCCTTCTTCCTGGACCTGCCATTGTGTATCTGTTCCTCCTTCTTATTCCTCTCAAACCCAACCAGTCGAAGCAGATGGCCGCTTGTCCTGAGCCTGTTTCTGCTGGAGGTTTCTTCCTCATGAGGGAGTTTTTCTTTTCCACTGTTACCTCTGTGCTTGCTTAGGGTGGGAGACTGTGATGAAGTGAAAACTCAAATATGTTGTCTCCTGACATAAATAACGTTATTAACTGATTTATATGTACAGTATATGAATGTTTCTGTTCAGTTCCCTGAGATGACTTCTGTTGTGATTTGGCCTTATACAAAAAAAAACTGAATTGAATGTTCAAAACAGGTCAGTGTTTGTTTGTGAACTGTCTTCAGAAGTCAACTAGGTGATCCATGCCCACCTGAGTGTAATTTAATTTCAGTATAAACTTAGCTGTCCTTTGAAGGTCTCAGAGGTTTAGGAACACTGTAACAATATAACATTTCCAGCTTCAAACATCTCGCTGGAACACAGAAAGAGAGCTGCACAACTGTAAACGTACCAAAACAGGGTCGTCTGCCTAAACTGACAAACCGAGCAGGGAGAGCATTAATCTGAAAAGAATTGGAGAAGCTGCAGAGATCCACAGCTCACGAGCGTCTGTCTGTCCACAGAACAGCTATTGGTCTGGAAACATTATCCATCGATGAAAGAAGGTGAAGAAAAGAACGCAGGTTCTTCCTCCAAGCAGCTTAGACATAACCATCAGTGCTCACAACAGATTCAATAAGTGTTTATCTCTGCTGTCACTTGCAGTTTTCCACTCCTTGTAAAAAGTTTTTTTTTCTTTGCAAAAATGCACACGTACATTCATTAAATTATCCTACTCAGTTGCACTTTTAAAAAATCTTGTACACCATTTTTAAAAACCGCACAGTATTTTTTTTTTTTACTGTAAATTCGCCCGAATAGTCTCTTATTCATACTTATTGTTTTTATATTTTTACCTTTATATGAATATGCATGCAAAATAGGACAATTCTGGAAGAAAACCTGTTAAAAGCTGTGAAAAACTGGGAAGGAGGGTCACTTTCCAGCTGGACAATGATCCAACATCTAGCTAGTTCTACAATGGAATGGGCCAAATTAAAGCACTGGGTGGCCCAGTCAGAGTCAATTCAAATATACTTTATTAATCCCAAAGGGAAATTATTTGTTGTTATAACTTGTTATCCTCATTTCATTGAGATGTTATAGATGCTGATGGCTGTAGGCAGGAAGGATCTCTTGTAAAGGTCCATCCCATAATCCAAGCCAAACTGAGAATCTGTGTCATGATTCATTGCCCACTGGTTAGGGTAAAAGTATGATAATGTTTTTCTTTTTCTGTCTGTTAACAAAATATCTCATTAACCACAAACTGGCATCAGTGAAACTCTTAGGAAGTATTATTTAGATGAACATCTGGAGTCAGTTAGATCCAACATTGACACCCCAGCAAACCGACTTGAGAAAACAGAAAAAAAAAGACAGTGTTTTAATGCATTCCTGCTTGTTAATGGGCATTTTTAAAATGACATATTTCTTCTTTCTAGTATCAGTAGTTTGTTTAGGTGAATGATACTTCCATGAAATATTTCAGGGAATGGTCGGGGAAGATGCCACACAGACCCAATAGGTTCAAGTGAGGGTTTGCTGGGAACGCCTGGTAGATGAACCCATGAGAAAAATCCTCACAACCCTGACAGAACTTCAACCACATTCCAGTAGAAGACAACGAGTCTGAGTGGACCATGTTCTGTGCCTCCATCGTCCAGATGGCTGCCTTGAGCTGTGGCAACAAGGTTGTTGGTGCCTCTTGTGTCTTATGGAGGCATCCTTAAACCTGGTGGTGGACATCTCAGGTAAGAGAGGCATTTAAGCTGAAGGAGTAGTCCTATCTGGTCTTGCTGGCTGGTGGGACTCCGAAGGCAGCTGAGGCGTTTCCAAGCAGGCTGTGGCCTGCCAGCTCCTCAGATGTATGCTGCCTTGGCTGTTGCAGAGGCAAAATTCGGATGTGGGAAGAGTTTGGTGAGGCCTTGTACAGAAAGTCTGAATAATTTTCGAGGAGATTCTGGCAACCTGTCAGCCAACTGAGGCAGGGAATGCAGCACTTCATCAACACTGTGTTTAGTGATAGTGGTGGTGGGTGGGTGGGGGTTGTTGACCTCAACCAGTGACGTCATTGGAAGGTGGAAGGATTACTTCTCAGACCTTCTCAATCTCACCAACATGTCTTCTATAGAGGAAGCTGAGTTGGGGGACTTAGGGATTGGTTCATCCATTGCTGAGGCTGATGTTGCTGAGGTGATTAAAAAGTTCCATGGCAGCAGGGCTTTGGGGGTGGATAAACCAACCTCTCAAGTCCTCGAGGCTCTGGATGTTGCAAGGCTGTCTTGGTTGACACACCTTTTCAACATTGCATGGATGTCAGGGGCAGTGCCACTGGACAGGCAGACTGGGGTGGTGGTTCCCCTCTTCAAAAAGGGGGACATGGGTGTGTTCCAATTACAGGGGCATTACTTTATTTAGCCTCCCCGTTAAGGTCTATTCAGGGGTACTGGAGAAGAGAGTCCAGTTAATGAATGTATCTCAGATACAACAACACAGGTTCCATCCTGGTTATGGAACATTGGACCAGCTCTTTACTCTCAATAGTCTTGTTGAGGGGTCATGGGAGTCTGCCCTTCCAGTCTACATGTGTTTTGCAGACTTTGAAAAGACATTTGACCGTGTTCCTTGAGGTATACTGTTGAGTTATGGGATTAGGGGTCCATTGCTTCGGGCCATTAAATCCTACAAGCTGTGCAAGAGTTTGGTTTGCAATGCCTGAAGTAAGTTGGACCCCTTGAGGGAGGCATTGGACTCTGCCAGGGCTATGCATTGTCATTGATTCTGTTCAAAACTTTCATGGACAGAATTTCTTGGTGCAGCCAGGTCGTGGAGGGAGTCTGATTTGGTGGCCTCAGGATTCCATCTCTGCTATTAGCAGATGATGTGGTCCAGTTGGCGTCATCATGCCGAGGTCTTCAGCTTTCACTGGAGCAGTTCACAGCTGAGTGTGAAGCAGCTGGGATGAGGATCAGAACCTCCAAATCTGGGGCCATGGTTCTCAGTCAGAAAAGGGTGGACTGTTCTCTTTGGTTTGGGGGTGAGGTTCTGCCTCAAAGGGAAGAGTTCAAATATTCAAGTAATGGAGCGTGAGATTGAAAAACAGATTGGTGCATTTTAAACTCATTTACCACAGAACAGAAGTTTTACTCATTAATTCTGAATGAATATTCGAGGAAGTTCAGGCCAACTCACCATCCACCATGTTTTGGCGCTGACATCGTAACACAGCTGCCACTTCACGGAGCCGTCGGCCTTTACACCTTCTTTCACCGACATTGTCTTCACGGCACAGCAGAAGACTGAAGATGGCAAAGTGTGGCTTTGGAAGTACTTTGTAAAACACAATGCGCTGTAAAATCAGCTGCTGTGATGACGCCTTCCTGCCAATACGTTACTCTTCTTCTGCTGCTTGTAATCATGACATTGTGGCCTTTTCCTAACTGTTGTGCTACTAGTCCGTTTCAAGTCCCTGTAGGTCCCAGACGTAGTTTCTAGTCTTCATGCAGCTGACACAACTCACAAAAAATAGACTGATTTTAGTGGATCAATAAATCTATAAACAAAATTTTGCAAATTTCAATTACAGTCCACGTTGTGGTTAATTTTTATTTCTCCACATTGAAGCTGAGCTGCTTGCCTACCTCATTAAGCTTCCAAACTCC